CAGCTGGGCAAGCCGGCAGCTCCTGCAGTGGTTCCTGAGCAGTCCAAACATGGGTGTCAGGCCCTGGGGAAGGTTCTGGTGCCAGCACCGAGGTGCCCAGGGAGGTGCCACAGTCTTTGCTAAATCTCCAGGTGTTACCCTGGAGTCCACAGGTCTGCTTGTGCCCCTGCCTGCCCGTGCAGGTGAGGGACCCTGGAGACATCTCCTGCAGTCCCAGGCGTTGGAGTGGAGGGGACTGAAGGGAGCCCCAAGTGCCTGGGGCAGAGTCAGCCCTTGGCATTGGGGCTGGAGTCTGTGGGAGATGCACCTAGGGGAAGAGCATGCCCTCCATCAGGTGATGGGGACATGGGCTGCCCTGGGTAGGGACAGAGCTGTGCTGAGTGTGGGGATGTCCGTGTGCAGGTAGCCCAGTGCTGAAGGGCAGTGGACAGGGAGAGATGTGGGAAACTCCGTGCTGCCAGCCGTGGTAACACCCACTTTCACCTCTGCAGAAACGTGCCAAAGGCCCAGGTGGGACCCAAGACTCCAGTTGGCACCAGACCACGAGAATTACAAGAAGAATGAAGAAGTGATGCTGAGCTGTCCTGATGATTTCCAGCCATCCTTCACGGACATAAAATGTTTGGGGGAAGACCAGCCCATCAACAACTGGAATCCTTTATACAGAGACCCATGGCTGGGAAGGGACAGCAGAGGTGACTGGGTCCACATTCAGTCTAGTGTGGAGTGCATTGGTAAGGGAGATATCAGGAGGTCTTCTGGCTGCCCTGCTCTACCACAAACCAAACAATTGTGCATATGCCACCACATACCCCTGCCCTACCTTGTTAGCTCCCACCCCAATTAACACCCACTTTTACCTCTGCCAGAAATATGCCAAAGGCCCCAGTGGGACGCAAGACTCCAGATGGCACCAGACCAGGAGAGTTACAAGAAGAATGAAGAAGTGGTGCTGAGCTGCCCTGAGGGTTTCCAGCCATCCTTCACCCAGGTCAAATGTTCAAGTGAAGTCCAGTCAATCAGCCTTGGGAAACCTGTATACAGAGAAGTTTGGCGTGGAAGGGACAGCAGAGGTAGTTGGATCCGCATCCGGTCCAATGTGGAGTGCATTGGTAAGGGAGGCATCAGGAGGTCTCCTGGCTGCCCCGCTCTGCCCTTCCTGAGCAGGGGAAGGCAGGCCATGTGTACACAGGGGGGTTGGGCTCTCTGCCTGCCTGGGGAAATGGTAGGTGCTGCTGAAGGCAGTGTCGAGGCAGCCCAGTGACAGGGTCTGGGTGGTCATAGGTCTCTGTCCCCTGTGTCCTCTCAGCCCATGCAGGCAGGGCAAAGGCCTGGCCTTGTCCCCCTGTGCTTGTCTCCCCTCCTGGTCCCTGCTGTGTGCCATCACCGCAGCAGCCAGCTTTTGGGCTCAGGCTTTATGGCCTTCTCAGGAGGCCTCAGGGTGTTGTGGTCTTCTGTGAGGGAGGCCAGGGCCAGCTTGTGCTGGTTTTGGAAACCCAGTATGACATGCTGAGATCAGTCATGAGCCGTCCTCTGGTGTTGCCCGACTCACCACATGCCCCATGAGCCCTCAGGATGCGTCTCAGCGAGAGGGCTGGGGGCTGGTTCCCTGCAGGCATCTGTGAGCACCGGGAGTGTGAGGACGTGGGTGGGCTGGGAAAGGGGGTGCTTCTCCTCTGGATCCTTGAGCAGGGCCCATGGGGGCAGCTCCATGTATGGCCCAAGCTTCAGGGTGTCCTGCCCTTGAAGGCTGTGCCAGCCCTTGATGTCACATGTTGCCAGGCAAGACCAAAGGGTCTGTGAGGCCCCAGGCCAAATGTTAAACCCTCCGCCCCAGTGCAAGCTTTGAGCACTGCATGGTGACCCGAGCCCCTGGAGCTCTAGCTCTTCCTGGCCTTTCTGAGGAGGCTTGGGGAAAGCATCACAAGGCCCTTCTTGCCCTCATCCCTGTGCTAGGGACGCAGTGCAGGAGGGCTACTCTGTACCGTGTTCTGGAGCTCCATCCCTCACCCTGCTGTGCCAGGGATGGGGTCCCCTGCTCAATCCCCTGCATGCCCTGTGTGGCCACCCACAGCCCTGCTAACGCCTTCCCATCTCTTTGGTGCAGAGAAATGCCAGAAGCCCCAGTGGGACTCCAGGTTTATCTTTGAGCCAGATCGGGTGTTCTACAACCCAAATGAAGTGGTGAAGATGAGATGCACTGAAGGGTACTGGTCTTCTGCTATGGAGATCGCCTGCGTGAAGCTGTATGCAGGTCAAGACTCCCTGTTTCCTCGCAGTGGCTGGATTGTGAGGGATGACACAGGCCACTGGTACCCTATGGAGGGAAACTTGACCTGTGTGGGTGAGTGATAGGACCAGCCTCTCCCCCAGTGCTCGCAGTCTGTTCTCCCCAGGGAGGGAGAGCAATGCCGCCTGTGTCTCACAGTGTTGGTGCGCTGTGCTTGGAGAGGTCAGGGCATGGCGTGGACATTAACTCCAGAGAAAACTGCTGCTGCTGAATCCCAAGTTTGTGTCCCCACTATTGGCAGCTGGGGCAGCCTGCACAGTGCCGAGGGGGACAAGTCCTTGCTGCTGCACATGGGTCCCAGGCAGCTTGCCCAGACCAGCCAAAAGGATCTGCATGGAGAAGACCATGAGAGTCCAGGAGCAGGAGGTCAGGGCCCTGGTCTGGCTGCTGGGTGTGTTGGCGAAGTCATTGCTGGTGTGAAAGGGACAAGCATCAGACCAGTTGCTAGCCCCAAGGCAGCAGCTGCAGAGAAGCATCAAGTACTTTCCCTTACCCTCTCAGAGTCACTGCAGCAGGCAGAGTACGCCTGGGAATGGTCCAGGAACAGAGGAGGTGCAGGCAGTGCCTGAGTGTTGTGTGGGAGAAGGCAGAGGATGGCTGTGTGTGGCCAGGCTCGTGAGGGATGAGTGGGGACGATGGAGGTTGGCTGCAAGGTTGGGAGGGGAAGGGAACGGGAAGGGAAGAGAGGGCTCCTTTTGCAATATTTTCTTCACAGAGGACTTCCAAGTTGTCCCCGGTACTTTGGAGATTTCCAGCACCAGCATCAAACTGAACTGGACCTGCAGGCTCCCTGAAATTTGCCAGCAGATGCGGGCCACATGCCGTCTGGCTGTGCCTTCCTCCCCTCCCTGTGAGGCTGAGGAGGTGATGGGAGAGGAGATGTTATATGGCCAGGAGGGAACGTTCACCTGTCCCCCTCTGCAACCTTTCACTGTCTACAGTGTCACCATCTCCATGGCTCCCAGCACGATCCTCTACACACGGCTCTTCACAACAAAAGAAACGGGTTTGTGTCTGCCTACATGAAATGTAAAGGCGCCCTTTGCCTGACAGCTAATCCTGATCATCAGATCCCTGCCATGATGGTCCTGGGATCGGGGCTGTTCAGATCCTGTGGAGCACTGGGGAAGGGGTTGTGCCCAGGGCCCTGGAGCACAGCATGTCCCCTCCTCACTCTCCACCTCCTCATCACACCATTGCTGCTGCTGTGGCACATGCAGCCTTTGGGGGGGACAAACCCTGCTTGAGGGGTCCCTTTTCAGTCTGTCCCCTGGGCCAGGAGCTGCCTGCACCCTGCTGCGGGCTCAGACCCTCCTCACTGACGCCATACATGACCCCGTCCTACTATGCTTCCAGTGCCAGACAAACCAGAGAAGCTGTGGCTGGATCCTAACACGGGGTCCCTCACGTGGAATCCACTGCCCTCCTGCAAAGGGAAGATCATCGGATACCAGGTACCAGGGGATCACGGACTCCCCACGGTCCCCCTCACCTTGCCAGGTGCCTCTTGCCTGGAGCTCTGTGCCGGCAGCCTGGGGAGAGGTGTGAGCCCTCCTTGGCCAGGGCACACCAGCTCTACACTGCTGGTGTTTCTGGTGGGGTCAGGTCCCCTCCTGTCCCCAGCCAGCAGTAGCAGCCCCTCTCTGCAGAGCTGCCCTGTGCAGGAGCGCAAGGTGGGTGCTGCTTCCCACCAGCTCCCTGTCTCTCCTCTAGCTGAACATCACGACCAGGAGAGCGCATAATGGCAGCTTCCTTGAATTCAAGCAGGTGATGGTGAACCAGTCTGTCACTCAGTACATGCCACCTCGTCAGACACCTGGAAGCAAATACACAGTGACAGTGCAGGGCCTGACAGTGGCTGGTGCTGGGGATGCGTCAGTCCTGGAATTTCAAACCTACGTCTCAGGTAATGGTTGTTTTGCCCCAGATCTGGCTGAGGTGGCCTCCCTGGGAGTTAGCGCTGAGTCTGGGGCAGCTTCCTGTCCCCACCAAGAGAGAGGCAGGGAGCGTGGGCAACCTGAGAGCCTGATTCAGCAGTGGGGGCCATGGGGCCGGGTGAGTCCTGCTTTGAGGGGTGCATTGCCCAGTCCTCAGAGCAGCTGCATCATTTTGATACTGTGAGAGCAAAGCTGTCCCCTTTACTCTTCCACTAGAGAAGATGATACCCATCCCTGCGTTCAGGTGCACAGGGGGCTCAAGGTCAGACAGTGCTAGGTCTGCTGAGCCTGGGTCTGTGTGTCCTCTTGAGGTGTGCAGTCTGATTGAGTGGCTTTTCAACCCTCTGGTTGTGTACGCGAGATGGGACAACTCCATGTCCTCCAGAGCCTCCTTCCCTCTGCCCTGCCCAGTGGACGGGAGGGCAAGGGAAGCCTGGGCCTGGCTGTCTGCACCTGCAACATCCAGGACAGCAAAGTCTGGGCACAAGTGTCTATACATATGCACACACCCAATGCCACGGTTGGGGCCATCACTGGCACATGGTCCAGACTGGCACCCACTCCTGGCTGTGTGTCAGTTGCAGGACAGCCTCTGGGCCCGTGGCCAGGGACGGTGGTCACGGTGGTGGTGGTGGTGGTGGTGGTGCTGGTGTCCTTGTCTGCAGGGATCCTGTGGTTTGTGCTGTCCAGGTGAGTAGGGAGATGTGGGTTTGCTGCTCTGCCTCAGGCCATGCTGGGCTGG